AATGTGCTTTACACAATTGATGTATGTATGGATTGTGATAAGAGTTGTATGAGCCCGTAATAAAACGATTAAAAATAATGATAATAAAATAAAATATTTTTGGCTTTCATACAAGCATTTTTAAAACTTCCTGCTTTACACCCTTAAGGAAGAGGGGCTGTGGTGTCATAGTAGTTACTCATTGGGCTGCTAAGTGCCAAGTCTGCGGTTCAAAACCACCAGCTGCTCTGCATGAGAAACTTCTTGAAGACGTTGGATCTTATTAACTAACCATTGTGTTCTGCATTTCGTGACTACTTGTTTTCCTTTTATCTGAAGGTTGTCTGAAGCCCATGAAGAATTACACAACACCAAACAGGAGGTGAGCGAATTGAAGAAGCTGCTGGAAGAAGAGCGCCATCAGAGAGCAGCTGCTGAGGAGAAGAGCAGGAGGTAAAGCACTGAGGCTTCACGTGCGTGTGTGATGAACATGGCCTTGTGCACATTGCAGCAGCCATACCTGGGAGCTTCTTTTTCACTGGAGAGTGGGAACTAAGATTAGGGTCGTCGCAGTCACCCAAAAGTATACCTGGCACTTTAGGAGTCCAGGAGAACCCTTACTTTCCAAAGCAGTGTTCTTAGAGAGTAATAATAGCTACTGTTTCTTTATAGCTTAGCTCTCAACAACAGCTACCTTCTGTTGTTGTTGTTGGGATAAAATAGGTCTCTCTTGTAGTGCCTTTCACGTGAAATACGCTATGAAAGATATTAAAAGGCCCCCAACTCATATCTCACTGCATTGGAAAAACATGTTTTACAAGATTAAAATGGGAGCGATTAAATGATTACTTGTAAAGCTTACGTGGGGGAAATGCAGCTTTTAAAATTAAATACTGAAGAGGCTTCCTGACCCTGAAGTTCTGCTCGAGTCCCAGGCAGTGTGGGTCCAGGATAGGCTCCCTCGCAAGAGAAGCGCTGCTCTTGTAAGCACAAGAGTCTTGGAGTAGCAGAGCACATGGCATTCACCACGAGCAGCCTGCTCCGAATGTGGCGAGGTAAGAGCGGAGCGGCACCACGTCCCGCAGGAGAGGCACTGTAGTGAGGAAGACGGTCTGAGCAGCAAGTGGGCGCTGTCAGATGTTCCTTATCTGGAAAGGAACGTTAAAAGCAGGTGTTCACCTTGACAGTATCCAGGGAAAGTCACCTAGATAATGTTGACTCTTCCCTCGGAGGGCGGTACTTCCGAGAGTAATGGTTTCCTGCAACCCTTAGAAATTTGCAGAGGTCGGGCAGCTTCAATATAGGTCTGATGT